TGGACACAGCTGGGAATAATCAACAAGACGAGACAGAGGTCAAACTGAACACACTCACATGAGACGCAGACCTTCACAATAAAACAGGAACAAGAAACCATCACACTAAGACGCAGACTCGACATAGAGAGACAGACAGTGAATCTGAGAGGAACATGGTCATACTGTGTGTGTGTGTGTGTGTGTGTGTGTGTGTGTGTGTGTGTGTGTGTGTGTGTGTGTGTGTGTGTGTGTGTGTGTGTATAGGGTAGTTGATTACAGCTCTGGTGAGCTTGGTGTCAGTCTGTATACGTAGAGATAACAGGATTAAGAGGCTACTGACACTACTGTACAAAAGCAATGGAGGGAGGAGAGGGAGTGATGCTAGGAGGGGAAGGGTTGCAAGAAAACTGGTGGGGGAAGAAATAAACGAAAAGGAACTTAAAGGGACGTTCCCATCAAATTCCTTTGCCATATGCCAATTGGAGAATTAGGGCTAGAGTTCAGTAGAATTTACAGTATATCCCGCTTCCAAGGAGTCTTGTAATTTTTTAAAAATGGTCTAAAGCTATACTTTTTCAGGCTTTCTGGAGGTCGTTCAAAGTTTTGGGCGGATTGTTTTGTTAAATCACTCAACACTGACGTACGAATGATTCTAGCATAAAAAAAGTCACCTAACTCAAGGGATTAACCAGGGTTGTGTCGGCACATAAGAAACAACCTAGCAAAGAACCAATTTTAAACTGCATCTTAGGGGACTTTGTTATTGGCAGCCTGTCGTAAAAAGGTGTAATTTGTTCCAATTTCTTTTAGTTGAATCTATGAAAATTGTCAAAGATAACACAATCTGACAGGCATAAATAGTGGCAAAAAGGTGGCATGCCTAAAAGGAAAAGAAAAACTATGAACAGAAAAGCCATATCTGAAAGTCATGTGCCTACAAAAATGGGGGGGGGGGGAACTGAAGTCTCAGTAATGGTCTCAGTGTAAGACAGGGTTTGTTAAGAAGCTTTTTATAAGGAAGGTAAACAGGAAGACAAGGCCAAACGACACAAGAACAGGACTGAAAATCAGTGGCAACAGGTCTGATGGAGTGATTAATCCATATTTGACGGTATAGGTTAAATCATCATCCATATGTACAGAGAAGGTCACCAGAGGTGATGGTTTGGGCCTCCATGTTCGGAAGATGATGGACTTCTGAACACAGAAAAGTACCATCAGCTTTTGACCCACCATGAATTACTATAGGGAAATAGTAATTGGTTGGTACTATTGGTACTAAAAGGAAACTTTTAGTACAGTACAAGCATCTTTAAAAAAAAAACCCTGACCCCCATCCCCCACACACACAATGGAGCACTATCAGTCATTGATTGGCCTCCTTAGAGCCCAGACCTCAAAATTATTGAAGCAGTTTGGGATCATTTTGCCAGAGAATAGAAATTAAATCAGCCAACATCCAAAGAAGAGCTTTGAATATCCTTAAATGAGCCTGGAAAACTTTTCCTGAAGACTACTTAAAGAAATTACGAGAAAACTTCCCTAAGTTTCAGGTTGTGCTGAGGTTTTCGAGTTTGTTTGTTTTTTTGCCTTATATGCTGTATTTGCATGCATGTTTGCACAAGCTTCAATAAATCACTCCTTTTCCTGTTATCCTAGCAAAATATCCAGAAATTTGTGGCTCCACACTTTTGCACAGTGCTATATAAAATTACAGACACGGGGGGCGAACAATCACAGATTTTTCCATATTAAGCACGCGTGGTCACTCAAGGGTTAATAAGAGTTATTAAAAGTCATGAAACATCAAACATGCTGTTTTTTTCCATCAAAACACCAAACAAATTAATATCCGTTGAAAGAGTAGTTTGTTTAAAAATAAACAGTGAATTCATTCTGGAAACTTGATTTGGCCTCAATAAGACTTTACCATCTTTCCCTTTGTTTTTCACCTAGTGTATCTATGAATGCATGTGAGGAAAAATGCTAATCACATCTAAATAGATTCTCCTAACACAAACAGCGCTGCAAACATGCACATAAACGATTAAAAATGACACTTACCCCAAACACTGGCAGAAATCTTTCACGCAAAAGGCCTTACTGAACTGGTTTTTAACAAACTTGAAACCTTCCTGCTGTACTGTATTATACTTTGTATAAACATACTGCAATATTATGATTTCCTGCTCAATGTTCAGTCAGTTTTGGTTATTTCCAGAGTTCCTTTAATGTTGTGTTGCTGGGATGTTCTTCCAGTTTTTAGCAGGGAGCGATAATTATACTCCAATCTGATCAGCACTGATTTGAGTGTAAATTGGGTTTAGGAATCTTAAGTAAATAAGAGTGTTATTTCAGCTACAGGGTTACCCGATATATGAAGAACTAGTGTATAACAGAGAATGTTTGCTGAAGTAAACTGTGCCAAGAGACAGGAAAAAATATATTTGGCCAGTAATGAGAAGATCAATGAAAGTGAAGATTGAGACAGATGATGGATAGAGACTGGGGTAAAAAGAAGTAAAGGATTTTGGTAAGAGTGCTGATAATGATGAATAGCAGACAGACAGAACATGAGACAAATATTAAATAGGAAAGAAGGGAGGAAGAAAAGCAAGATTTAAGGAAGACGAGGACACAAAGTTGTTGCCAGAAGTTCTTTTCCTGCCTGTTGAGTTACAAGAAGGATTAGTAGTAGCAGAATTAATCAGCTATGCAATCAACATGTCTCTTAAATTAGTGTATCATAACTCTCGATTTTAATTGGTGGTCCCATGAGGTAAATGAGACCATTTTTCTCTCCAATCTAATCCAAGTAAAAGGAGGGAGTGGGCCAATTTATAGTGTGCAAAAGAAGAGTAAGCTGCAGGGCTCCTTAAACTCTTATGTTCAGAAGACATTCCCAAATTGAAAATTAGAAAGATTTTTTCAGAGAAAGAGTGGAAGAATAAAATGAATTTTCACAAAGTATTATTAACCTCTGGCACTATTGCAAAATTTGTGAGGAACTGTCTGGTCCTATAGATCAATCAAACAGAGAGAGAGAAAGAGAGAGACCCCCACAGAGTGAGTTACTCCTCTGTGGTCCTCCACGTTTGCTGAGGGAGCGCTGGCTCACCAGGGACAAATTAGCCACACAGGAGCACTGAGGCATCATGGGAAATTAATGATCAGGACCTCCAGGAAGTGAGCTAATGAGTCCTAGTGCCACACACACACAGAGAGACAGGCACACACATGGTAGAAGACACAGAAAGCAAGACAAGAAAAAAGGAACTAGCCAAATGTGCACACAGCTATCAATGTAACTTTGGATGAGTGATAGCACTGAACCAACAGCTGAGTTAGTGTGACCCACACAGGCTGCACACACACACACACACACACACACACACACACACACACACACACACACACACACACATTTGGAAAATCAGATAATTAGAGAGGACCACCAGTGGCTTTCGCCCATGGAGGCGTTGTGATTACTGTCGCTACACCCTCCCCTGGGGTGTTTGACAACAACCAGAGAATTAATACTTATCACAGCATACACACACACACAAACACCATCCAGCCAAGAGTGGTTGAACTAAATGTAGCTCTTGCAGACACCAGTTACGGAGATGCTGTGGCTCCCTGCTGTTATCCTGTGTTGGGTACTTGAATGCACCACTTCACAGTGTTGGCCTACTTGGGGCTGTACAATAAGGACTGAAAAGAAATTTCAGGAGAGGACAAAGGACGCTTTCTTTTTGTATCAGTCAGCTGCTTACCTTTGAGCAGACACCCAACAACAAAAGTGGTGTTTGCTGCTGAGTAATGAGACTGAATAAGTGAAACTATTCGGTCCACTAAGAAGAACCCAGGTTTTCCTGAAAAACTGGAACAGTGACAATCTGTCTCCCCACACCAGTGGGCGCACCTCCCAAGGACTTAACTTTGCGCTGCAGTACAATAACATGGCCACACCCTTGTTGAGTGATTGGCCTAAAGTTTCCCCGGCACCGCCCTCGGCCCAGCGCATCCGCCCTTCCAGCGTTCCGTAGCCTGTTGCTGCCAAACCATCTGACAGTTTAAATTTATATTCTGCCCTATTACTGTACTCGAATCCCCAAGCTTTAAAGTCAGTCTTTTTTTTTTAAGTCATTACAGTGACTAGAGCTCACTCTTAAACCACGATGCGCAGTGTGGAGACGCGCTCAGCAACGTTTCTCTGTGGTGGTGCACACCTTCTTTGCAGCCTGTAATTGTTAACTTTTTTTTTGTGAGGGACATCACTTCACGTTGTTGCATCATGGGAAGCTGCAGCAGCAGTTGACGCTAAAGTGTGAGTTTGTTCATGAGTTGCTGAAGCTCCTGAAGAAAGTTGTTCGCGGAGCTCTTTTGCGTCGGGTCTCGTCACCTGATTTTGCGCACCACTCCCAGCCGGTGCAGAACCTTTCCGCAGGGGCCAGGATGGGCACCTTGCTGTGGACACTCGGAACTCCGCCTGCTTGGAAAGCTACGATTGTCTTCTTCAATATAATATCAGCTGTTGTGGCCAAAAGGCACACCGTGTTTTGGAACTCTACAAACACAAGGTGAGGAGGGGGAGTCTGTGCGCGTAATGACGCTTCTCTTGGTACAAAACGAGAAGGCTGTTTTATTTTCATCACTAGTGACCAAATAAATGTTCACTGTTAGGGGTCCAGATTTGGTTTAATCTACCAGTTTAGGTGAGAATAAACATAGCTGGTCTGAACTTGCACTTTCATGCCATTGCACAACATCTTTAATGATGCCTTGTGAATGACTCAGGCTTTAGTTGTTTAAAAGAATCTCAGCTATGTACCAGCTCACGTCAATGTTTACTTAAATGCAGCAGGGAGGGAAACAGGTCAAACCTGCACCAAAAGCTATCAGGCTGTTTCCTTTAAATCAAGTAGTCTCAACTCTGTGAGTACAGTGGAACCCTCGGTCCACTTGAGAGAGACCTGAGTGATCTCACCTCCTTGCCGCAGCCAGTTATCTTTATCATATTGACCACACTCTAACCGTGGCTTTCACCTGTCTGCTGCTTCTTGGAGTTAGTGATTATGCTACTTATAGAAAGGCAGAAGTAAGGGTTTCTTCCTAAGTGTTTGTTCTGAATAGTGCCCTAGATAGCATTCTCAGGACACAGGTGTATATTAAAGTCTAAAGTGCTGCTGTGCATAAGCGAATATGTAGTCAGGTAAGGGGAAGCTGTGTGTGTGTAATGGGTTGATTGGGGCCATTAGCCAGGCAGAGTGTGGCTCACCTGCTGATCCAGGTGTTCCAGTGCTTGCTAATTGAAGGTTTGAGGTGGGAGACCTGCAGGGCCTGACGGGCTACTGCCCACCAGAACACATTCGCGACTCTCTTACACGTTTTTCTAGACTCTTGCTCTCTCAGAGGCCAGAGTCCCCAAACGCTCTTTCAGATGAACGACCTTTTTACTTAGCCGTTGGCCACAGAGACTGCTCTGTCAGTAACTGTTTTATCTTTATGATTTTACATTTGTAGATGCTCAAAATCTGACAGAAATGTGACTCCTGGGACTATTAATTTCCCCAAGAGCTCCTTTGTCTAGGGGGCAGGCTCTTGTAGTGGAGGTTATACCCGGTGTGTGCATGTGGGGGAAAACTCAGTCATGTAATTGGGATCTGACAGAAATGTGGTGGACAGAAACACTGAGGATTAGGAAGCACCTTCTTGTTCTCCAGAGATTCAGGGATGAATGGTCACAGCCTGTGGCATGGCCACACAGTCTGCTGCAACACCACGCAATCACAATGCCATCAGCATCACGGTGGAGAGTAACCCACTGTGGCAGAGAATCACTCTCATCAGCAACACCACCCAATCACAAAGCTATCAGTGGTGCCGTGATGCTGCACCAAGTCCAGAATCCCCTGGGTTTACCACAAGGATTTTCCTCTCCTCTCCTCTCCTCTCCTCTCCTCTCCTCTCCTCTCTCTTCATTACCTCCCTTGTTACATCCTTCTCCTTTCATCTTTTGTCTGCACTCCCTCACTCCTCCTTCTCCTCTTTATGTCTCACAACTCCCTCCAGCCCAGTGATGGATATTGGCTGTGTGATTAGTTGAGCTTCAGTCATTTTCCCATACCATATTTTCTATTAGCTGCCAGCCAGCGAGCCAGCCAAGTTGTCCTGAGGCCTGTAAATGCAGCCAGGTGAGGGGAAGAGGAGCACAGGGACACGAGAGCCGTGATTTTGTTGGATCAACGTAGCAATAAGAGAGCCAAAGACTGCGTCTGACATTCTGAGTACAGACAGTCAGAAAATAACCACGATTGGCTTCCTGCTTTTTTTTTGTCCGCAGTGCTGCAACAGATTACAGTGTAACTGTTATTAATAACCGTGTAAAACCTTTTTTTTTTTTGACATTTTCAGCATAACTTTGTGTTATTTCATCCATTCCCATTCTACATTGCCTTGTTTAACATCTTTCAGCTCACTGTTGTGGCTGAGATTTAGTTTCAGTGCTTTGATTCTTGCTAAAATGGCTCTGGTAAGTCCATCATCTATGGGCTACCTGGGCGACACAAAACCAGCAGCAGGTCAAAGATGGTGACCAGAGGTATACTAAGTAAGAGAAAAGCCTCGTTTTCTTTTGGAGTTGATGAAACGGGACTTAAAGAGAGTTAATCTTGGATCATCATTCTCCATGTTGCCAGACGCATGACTTGAGATACACACTAACATTCCTCTGTAAATGTTGTAACACTATAGCTTTATAAGCTAAAAACAGTTCATAGTTTTGTGTAGAACTGGCTTTGCTTGATTTATTGGTAAAATATTGATAATAAATTTGACCCCATGCACCAACCTTCTTTGGAAATGTAAGAAATTGTATTTTGCACATTCATGAACTAACAATAAGTGATTGAGTGTATTCATGGCAACATTATTCCTGTCACATGTGAATCTGGGAAAGCATCTAAAGACTAGCTTAAAACAAATGCTTAAGCTGCTTATAACAACCGTAGCTGGTGGAAAAACGGACTCTTTTTAATATGAACGACAGGATCCCATCTCTGGCCTTCACCTTTCCCTACAACATCTAGATTTATAGTTTTAATGAAGCAAGGGCAGTGAAGTGGAGACTGTAGGGCTTCACTGCTCTGTTCTTTGCTGGCTAATATGCTTGTAACAAAGGCTCAATGAAACACTTTAACTGGCACACATTTAGCACCCCCTATATTGAAAAATGAAGCTCTGAAATGAAAGTGATAGACTGACTGCGGGGTCGGCGTTGAACATTGCAGAATCGGATACCCCTGCCTCTTTCTTTTGTGGGGCTCCAGTGGTTCGATCGCCCTCTTTTATGATTTTTTATGAACACGGTTTACGATCGCTCTCCATTTTATAACCGTGTCTCTCTCAGAGCAATAGTTCCTTATTAGAAGAGAAATTATTTTTTACTTCCTGGAGCAGTTAAAGGTTAGTATAATAATATAACCCCAGTGCTCAAAGCTTGAGTGTGTGTGTATTTGTGAGTGCTGACAGTTTACCTTAGCTCTCCCCTGAGCCACAAGCTCAGACTGGTTTATTGGTGTATTCAGCTTCTTCTTGTGTTCCACGGAGAGCTTTTAAACCTGTTGGGCCAAACACGTTGACCAGCCTATTTGCAGATACAGCTGTGTCTGCTTTTTGCGCTGCATGCATCCTCATAAATTCGCTCAGGAGCCGTCAGGAAGTTTACTCAAAGCATCAAAACTTTAGGGATTGAATTACACTTCTTGGGGGACAAGAAATGGCTTGAAAGATTGGGCTGCTCATACATCTGTAACGAGAATAAATGTCACCCATACCTGGAGCTTTAATCACCTACTCCATTTTCTGGTTCTTGGCACTCACTTGTACTATTGCTTTCCCTCCTATCTGCCCGGAGAGGATGAAAACTTGTTGCAACAGTTCCCCTGGATCACAGCTCAAGCTTCAGTCTCTGCTTGCCAGCTCCTTTGCTTTCTCCGCACCCCATATTTTTTTGTTTCTGAATTTGCGTAGAGGCAGACAAGCGTAGTTTTAATTGTAAATGACATTAACATTTAAAACCCGCGACAGAAACATCGTAACCAGTTTTCCTTACCTGCATCCTCACTTGCCCAGACTTGAACTCACTCTGAAAGTTTGGACACAAACTTAATCTTTATAAAATATCAGACCAGACCCCTCTGAGCTCTCGCGCTCCCTCTCTTTTTTTTTCTTTCTTTCTTTCTCCCCCCCGTCTCTCACCCGCTCACACAAAGACCTAGGGTGAGCTCTAAGCCAGTGAAGCATGTTTAAACGGGGCATGAGGTGATGAATATTTGTATTGGTTTTCTGTATCTTTATTGAAAGCTGCCCTCATAAGTCCTCCGTGTAATCTCTGCTCTGTTTATGCATCATTTCCGTCTGTGTGCACTTGTGAATGATCCAGTTTAAATACCAAAGTAAATCACATTCTGCATACCATAGCTGCACTCACGTACACACACACACGTAACTGATCTGTGGGATTGCACAAACAGACACATGCAATATACAGTAAAATAAAAGCAGATAAGTTGTAATTGTGTCTTGTCAAGGATGATGATTGCACTTTTAGACTGATTTCTTTCTTCTCCTTATTTTATTCCTTCATCTAGCGATCTGTCTGCATCTATTACCCCTCTGTAGATTGGACATGCAAATGAATACGTTCCTCGGATTGCTTTCTCTTCTCTCTGTGTCTGTCTATGTACTAATCTCTATCTTCCCCTGGTAAATGATTAACATGGAGAACCTGGCTGAACTATAATCAACAAACCCACAGTGAGGTAATTACCACTTTATTCCCGGTCCTGCTAACAAAGCAGTCCCCCTCTCTCTCTCACTCACTCTGTCACACACACACACACACACACACACACACACTCTTCCTCGTTCTCTGAATATCACTTCATGTCTCTCTCTCTTTCTCATCTGTCATAGCTGCATCAGTGTCTCTCTCCCTTCTCCGTGTCAGTGCCTATTGTCTGACTTCGCCGCTGCGCTGTGGTCTGTGCAGATATAGAACCGCCTTTGCGAGTGCAATTGTGTGCGTTATCTGTCTTTGTAAATGCGCTTTGTCTGTTTGTTTGTGGTATCGAGTCTATTATCTGGAGGTAAACTGTGGTTGAGTTAACTTCTGTGTACACTCGAGCTTCTTCATCTCTGTCAGAAAACAATGCAAGGCAGTGATTTTTAGTGATTTGAATGCCTGAGAATTGACGTTGGGTGTCGTCGTTGTTGTTGGTTGAAGTTCATTTCACTGGAACAATAGCTCTGTCAGAGGTGTGTGCGTGCCTGTGTGTGTGTGTCTGTGCGTGCAAGCTTGTGGCTCTTACTGGCTGGTTAGCGTAAAAGGGAAGTCTTTGTTTCCTTGAAGAGATGCAGTGTGATAAGTGTAAGTTCTGGAAAAACAAAACCCAGAAATGCACGAGGATACCCAGCCCCATTAAACCACTCAAGGCTTTGATTCATTTCTGATCTTGCACATAATTCATCTGGGTTGTTTTTCTTTTTTGGGGGGGGTTGGAGGTGCTTTTGTCTATCT